AATAGAGCATTTGGATGCGCAATAACCTGCTAATCGTGCGAACGTCGAGACTGGCGGCAGAATCAACACAATGATTTGGCTATTTTTTTTCCCGCAAACTAAGTGCAGCTGAAACTTGGTATAATCCTTTTCTGCTGCAAAGTTTTAGTTGCGTACTCCTCTATAAAGTGTTTCAAGCATGTGCTTACTGGTAGACAATTTTATACCCTCAAGGAGCATTAACCTCTTTGCGGAACTTTCACGAATACCTCGCGCGACCACTCACAGTAGGAAATCAGCCGTTTTCGAATGTGCGCCACACAAAGGGTGCAGATGTGGTCACAGATGCATAGCATGATCTCTGCAAAAGCTGACACTGACTACAGAGCATTGACAGAGGCCCAGAGAGGAGTGAAGTCAGACGACAAAAAGTCGGTAGGGCTGTATATGGCAGAAATGGATATCCCCGAGATGCGACGTTTTCTACGGGTAGATACCGGCCTTTTGGATGACTTTCAAAACGGAAAAACGTCTCAAGCCAGCACTATTTGGCACACGAGCTTGAAAAAACTTAATTGGAGACCGTTTTGTCTGGCCAGGGATGCGAGCAGTCATCGGTAAGATGACTTAAAATAACCAGCGTGAAAAGGACAAGGTACAGAGTACGCACCAAGACCCCTATATGAAGTTTTGGGTAAATCTCAGAGCTGCAACCATATCTACATGCACACTTCGAGCCCCCTTAGACCTTCCCATTTTGCACGGTTTCACACAGTAATCAGGAGCCATCCAAATAACGAATAGACAGAGACATTGGCTAAAACCTTTAATAAATCATTTTCAGGTTTAACACAAGGGCAAGCATCGCAACCGACAGTAGGCAGTTCGAATCGGACGTTTTCGCCTAGATATCTAAATTATTAGGAGCGAAAAGGATTCACACAAGCGCCCATCACCCGCGAACTAACAGTATGGTAGCACTTTTCCACCGGCTATAGCTTGTCTGAGATAGCAGAGAAATTCGGGCATGTGGACAGACATTCACCCACAGTCCTGATGAAGCTACGGAAAACGATCAAAGCGGAAACCGACTGGAGCCTAGCCGATATAGTTTACAAGTGGCTACTGCGATCAGCCAGGGATTCCGTTGCACCTACCTACATGGCGTAACAACCGTTAACCACGTTAGAAATCTGACCGATACGATGGAAAAAAAACATTTCAAGCCGAACCTCCGCAGGTCGGCAATGCTTAAAGACCTTGACTTGCAAATACCTCTGAGTCAAAGACGACGGAGTACTGCAACCACCATTAGTACAATGCAGTCATCACCAAGTGGTAGGCAGATCAACCCAAACCAACACAAATTGACGATTCTAATTATAAATTGCACTCCGACCAAAC